TTACAGATGGAACTAACTCTATAATCCTATGTGCTCTTTAAATGGATGGACTTTATGAACTTTTTTTTTTCATAAAAAATCATATCATTGCCATGTAATTGCCTTACAATTATTTAATTAGTAATCTAGTTTATCTAATTTATAAATGTTTGATAATTAATTATTTGATACACAATATGCTGAAAAATATATGTAATTGCTAGAATCTGTTAATCAATAATCATATTTATTTTTGTACAACAACAACAACAACAATGCTTTAATCCCACTACGTGGGGTCAGCTACATGAATCCTTTTTCTCCATTGCGTCCTATTTAGTGTCATATTTTCATTTAGTTTTAATAAATTAAGATCATTTTTTATACAATAAGCCCAAGTCTTCCTAGGTCTACCTCTGCCTTTCTAAACATAAGTCGAATCTAAAACCTCTACTCTCCTAATCAGATCATCAGATGGTCGACGTTTAATGTGACCAAGCCATCTAAGACGACTTTTTCTAATTTTGTCTGTCACAAGAGCTACACCAACCCTATCACGGATATATTCATTTGACATGTTGTCTCTAAGTGTAAAGCCACTAATCCACCTAATCATTCTCATCTCAACAACACTTAACTTAGTATTATGATTCTCTTTTAAAGGCCAACATTCAACGCCATAAAGCATTGCATGTCTCACAACAGTCTTAAAAATTTTCCTTTCAGTCTAAGCGGTACTTTTCTATCACACAAAAGGCCTGAAGCATTCCTTCACTTCAACCAACTAACTTGAATTCTACTATTAATATCCCCATCTATCTCATCATCGCTTTGAAAAACGACCCGAAATATCTAATCGTTCACATCCTTTAATAATTTGATCACCCAAAGTTACACTTCTGTCACTATAGCTACCACTACTAAAATTACATTCCATGTATTCGGTTTTAGTTCCACTCAAATGAAGTTTTTTAGACTCCAATGTAGACCAATGTAGACCTCCATAATTAGTAGACCTCCATAATTAAAGTTTTTCTTGGGCTTTTTCTCTCGTCTTATCCATAAGAAGGATATCATCAGCAAAAAAGATACACCAGGGTACATCCTCCTATAAATGTCCAGTAAGACCATCCATAACTAAAGCAAAAAATATATGGGCTTAAAGCAGATCCCTGATGTAATCAATAGAAATAGGAAAATATTTGGTCAATCCTCCTTTAGTTGGAACACAAGTAACAACTTTAGTATACATATCTTTAATGACTTGAATATAAGTCATATCAACACCTTTTCTCTCAAGAATTCTCCAAAGGATATTTCTTGGAACCTTATCATAAGCTTTTTCTAAATCAATAAAAATCAAATGAAGATTCTGCTTATTATCTCTGAACTTCTCCATCAAACTTCTCAATAAATGTGTAGCTTCCATAGTAGATCTGCCTGACATAAATCCAAATTGATTATGAGAAACCTTTGTAATACGTCTTAACCTATGTTCAATTACCTTCTCCCAAAGCTTTAAAGTATGACACATCAACTTAATTCCTCTATAATTTGCACACTCTTGTGCATCCCTTTTATTCTAAAAAATGGGGACCAAAATACTCTTCCTTCACTCCCCAAACATTTTGCTTTAGTTTTTAAAATAATATTAAACAGTTTAGTAAGCCAAAAAACTCCCAAATCTCCTAAACATTTTCATACTTCAATTGGGATATCATCAGGTCCTATAGACTTTCCACCCTTGGTTTTCTTTAAAGCCTCATCAACTTTTTTTTTTACTAATGCGATGGTAAAAATGAAACACTTTATTATTATTAACGATATTAAGATCACTAAGGTCGATCATATTTTCAAAAACTTCATTAAATAATTTATCAAAATAACTCATTCACTCATGTTGAATATCTTTTTGTAAGAAAAACACTTTTTGATTTTCATCTTTAATACACTTGAGTGAAATATTTACTTTTCTTTTCTCTTTGTTTGGCTAGTTTATACATATATTTTTCACCATTCATAGTATCTAATCTATTATAAAGACCATTAAAAGGAGAATTTTTAGCATCACATATTGTTCTTTTAGACTCCCTGCGGGCCGTTTGATATTTTTCCTAGTTCTCTGAACTTTTACATTTAAACCAATTTTTATAACATAACTTTTTATATTTTATCTTTTCTTGCACATTATTATTCCACCACCAACTATTTTTATTTAAAATTTTTTTTTCTTTTGATTCTCTAAGTACATCTTTTGCTACTTGTTTAATGATGTTTGTTACTTTATCTCACATAGCATTTACATCATCATGAACATCCTAAATTTTGAAATCTTGAATTTTATTCATAAAAATAATTTTATTTGTGTCTTTTAGGTTCTCCCATCTAATTCTACAATGATGAGTCATAGTATTCTTTATTTTACAACTCTTCATTTTAAAATTAAGAACTAATAAACGATGTAGAGTACTTAAATTCTTAGAATCCTCACTTGGAATGATCATACAATCTTTACAATCTCGACGATCTCTTCTTTTCATAAGAAAATAATCAATTTGTGTTTTATTGGATCCATTCTTATAAGTAATAAGATGCTCATCCCTTTTTTTTGGATAAAGTATTACCAGTAACAAAATTATGCGCTAAAACAAAATCTAAAATAGCTCTACTTTCTTCATTAGTCACTCCAAAATCATAGCCACCATAAATATTTCTAAAATCTTCTATCACACTACCGACATGTCCATTTAAATCTCCTCCAATAAAAATTATTTCTTTAAGAGGTATCATTTGTATTAAATCTTCTAAGTCATTCCAGAATTTATCTTTAGACCCTATATCTAAACCTACTTGAGGAGCATAAACACTTATAATATTTAAAAAAATCTTAATATCAATAATAATCTCAAGGGCTATAATTCTATCTCCAACTCTATTAATTTTTACAACATTATCTTTCAAACTCTTATCTATAATTAAACCTACATCATTTCTAGTGCGACTCTTACTAGAATACCAAAGTTTAAAACCTAAGTAATCGATGTCCTTAGCCTTTTCTCAAATCCATTCAGTTTTTTGAATACAAGATATTAATTTTCTATGAATCATAATATCAACTAATTATATTAATTTTTCATTAAGAGTATCTAAATTCCAAGATCCTATCCTAATATTAGTTTCATTAATTTTATGGACTAACTTCTTTACCCGAATCCGTTCGTAATGTGGGAACCCTTGCTTATTTGACCCTACACCCGACCCTTGCACACTTTTCACTGTATTCAGGTTATACAACGTGTCGCTTCCAGAGGACGCCCTAGCACTTAACAAAGATCAAAATGGTTCATGTCATGATTTTTTTCGATAAGTTTACGCTGGCTGTCGACTACCTAACATAACCCCTCCACTTTTCACATCCTAAAATCATTTTTTTTTAAAGTAATTTAAGAAAATTCACATTACTGTTGCATTATTTTTTCCAAGGAAGTCCATCAATTTTAAAAAAATGCAAACTTGACGACAATTGTTCCAAACACCTATTCACTCGACAACACTACACATTATAAAACTATACAACCCAATGTAACATGAAATAATATTGATAAATAGGGCCCTAAGTTTTACTTTTTATTTTTTTAGATTAGTTATGTTGATGCTGGCAAGAGATCCATAAAACAAACTACGCAAACACGTTTGGACTATAAAAAATATCACAATTGGCACATATAGCAAGGGTACCAACATGATTGCAATACACGATATTTGCCTATATGCAAAGCCGATGGCACGTAATTTGAGATGAGTAACAACAAATTTACGAGACGAAATGATACCGCGAACTATAAGAATCCAATTAATTAAGGTAAATTAGTTTAAAAAATAAATGAACTAAACTTAGAGTAGATTAAATTTGATTAGACATTCTTATATGGTTAAATGTGTTCATATAAATATTAGAACTAACATCATGCATCTGTGACCAAAATAAATTAAAATATTCCAAAATTTTTAGTATTATTTTATAGTTAAGTATTAACATTTACTTCAAATATATTTTTTTTGTAATTTATAGATAGGCTAAATTGAATTAGATGAAATTTTACTCATAATCTTATATGAATCAATAGTATATATATTTATACCTCTCAATACTTATTTATTTACATATCTAACATCTAAACTTCAATTTTTACATATATCCTATCTTAACTATGTATGAAAATTTATATTTCACTTTTAAAAATTTAAAATAGTGAAAGAAGATCTTCAAAATCTCATGGATAATGAAGAAGATGACTTCATAGAGAAAGAGGGGTGAAAATCCATTTATAGAGATGATTATGCTATCCTAAAGCCATGCTTAAAGATAAGCTATTTACCAAGAATTTTAAACTTGAATGTAATGGATGATGAAAATTTTATGTGAAATTGCCTTTTCATATTTATAAGAAAATAAATAAAATATGTGGCATTTGCATATATACCACCCAATTTCTATATATTTATATATCTAACACAAACTTTACTTTTTTACATTTATTCTGCCCAAATATTTCATATTACATAAAAGATATCACTATGTTAACTTTTAAAATGTGAAATACATATTTTTATGCATGGATAAGATTTCATGCTTGCAACAATTGAAGTATTGGGGGTAGATATGCAAATACATTGTATTTTAGTGTTATGTATATAAAAATTGAAGTATTGGTATTAGATATGTAAATACACAAGAATGGGGCAGCATGTATGCAAATGCCTTCTCAATTTTTGTGTTTTTGCATGTTCTATGCTTGAACCATTTAAGTTAATGAAATTGTGAAATACAGGAGGCATTTTGTTGTGTTCTTTGAGATTTGATGATATTGTTACAAATAAAGGCAGTTGGTGGTTAGTTTTATAAATAGATAATATTTGAGTGACATTTATGTAATTGCCCCAAACTATAATTAAAATTCAACTCTTACAAATGATCTGTTCTAACACCATGTTTCTCTCTTCTGTAACAAATGCTACAGTATCGGCAAATGCGGAGAAAGGAACAGGATCGATTGATGAGAATGGATGCCGACTACGAGAGGAGGAAGGAGTTGGCCGAGTTTAATATGAGGAGGGAAGAAAGGTTGAAGGCGGCGGAGGATAGAACGGCGAAGAAGCGAGCAAAGCGTCAGAAGAAGAAGCTCAAGAGGAAGGAGAAGAGAAATAAGGTCGATAATGGAGACGAACATCATCTTGTTCATCAAGAAGATGGGTCCTCAGGAAGTGAGGATTCAGATGATCCTTATGCATAGTCAAGGAACTGAGTTTTCCTTCTATTCTCTTAATTGCAAGATGGTTTGGATTCTCTTCCAAAGTAGGAATGTGTGCCATGTAATGTTAAATGAGTCATCTCTTTGTATAGAGTTTGTGGGAATTTAATGATTTGATAGAGCATTTATACTTTATGGTAGCCATTGTGGCAGATGAGAACTGGGGTGTAGACTAGTCTAGCTGAGTTGAGTTCGAGTCATGTTTAACTCGAGCTTTATTTGTTTGTATGATTGGGAGATGGAGCTTGTGCTGACTTACAGTATTGACAACAGGGGAGTTAACTAGCTCGCGAGCTCGAATGGAATTGGTTGGTTTTTGGGCATTATTTAAATGCTCTGTTTTTTTGTGATTTTTTTAAATTAAAGTATAAATAAAATGATGTATTATGTATGTAAATTTCTCACTTTGATGATTTAGTGTTAAAGAGTTAGATTTTTTTCTTATAAGGCCATATAAATAATTTTTTTTGTAAAGAAAAAAAAGATTGAATTATAAATGTAAATTTAAATTTAAGATAAATTAATATTTATTCATTTAATTTATAACTTATTATTTACGTAAATGAAAATTTTAGAAGGAGAAAGTTTTACTGTTATGAATAATAAAATAACTTACTAATTATATATATATATATGGCGTATATTAAAGAAGTATTGGTATTAGATATGTAAATACACAAGAATCGGGCGGCATGTATGCAAATGCCTCTACAATTTTTTGTGTTTTTGCATGCGCTATGCTCGAACCATTGAATTTAATGAAATTGTGAAATACAGGAGGCATTTTGTTGTGTTCTTTGAGATTTGAGTGATATTGTTACAAATAAAGGCATTTTGTGGTTACAAATAGCTAATATTTGAGTGACATTTATGTAATTGCCCCAAACTATAATTAAATTTCAACTCTTACAAATGATCTGTTCTAACACCATGTTTCTCTCTTCTGTAACAAATGCTACAGTATCGGCAAATGCGGAGAAAGGAACAGGATCGATTGATGAGAATGGATGCCGACTACGAGAGGAGGAAGGAGTTGGCCGAGTTTAATATGAGGAGGGAAGAAAGGTTGAAGGCGGCGGAGGATAGAACGGCGAAGAAGCGAGCAAAGCGTCAGAAGAAGAAGCTCAAGAGGAAGGAGAAGAGAAATAAGGTCGATAATGGAGACGAACATCATCTTGTTCATCAAGAAGATGGGTCCTCAGGAAGTGAGGATTCAGATGATCCTTATGCATAGTCAAGGAACTGAGTTTTCCTTCTATTCTCTTAAGTGCAAGATGGTTTGGATTCTCTTCCAAAGTAGGAATGTGTGCCATGTAATGTTAAATGAGTCATCTCTTTGTATAGAGTTTGTGGGAATTTAATGATTTGATAGAGCATTTATACTTTATGGTAGCCATTGTGGCAGATGAGAACAGGGGTGTAGACTAGTAGCTGAATTGAGTTCGAGTCATGTTTAACTCGAGCTTTATTTGTTTGTATGATTGGGAGATGGAGCTTGTGCTGACTTACAGTATTGACAACAGGGGAGTTAACTAGCTCGCGAGCTCGAATGGAATTGGTTGGTTTTTGGGCATTATTTAAATGCTCTGTTTTTTTGTGATTTTTTTAAATTAAAGTATAAATAAAATGATGTATTATGTATGTAAATTTCTCACTTTGATGATTTAGTGTTAAAGAGTTAGATTTTTTTCTTATAAGGCCATATAAATAATTTTTTTTGTAAAGAAAAAAAAGATTGAATTATAAATGTAAATTTAAATTTAAGATAAATTAATATTTATTCATTTAATTTATAACTTATTATTTACGTAAATGAAAATTTTAGAAGGAGAAAGTTTTACTGTTATGAATAATAAAATAACTTACTAATTATATATATATATATGGCGTATATTAAATTATGTATCATTATATTATAAAAAATATTTATATTAGAAATTTAAATATAAAATATAATTAAAAGCAACTTTCTCTGATATTTGTTCTAATTTGAAGAAAGATGGGCCAATTGTAACGCCTGTCTTTTATAAAACCGGACGAAGGTGTCGGGGGAAGAAAGAGTACTCGCCGGAGCTATGATGGATTCTTCTTCTGCTTCCTCTGCCGGAGTTACAGGCTTAACTAGCGATGATAGTCGCTCCTACAGCTCCGGCGGGATTCCCTTCATCTCGTCCTGGACCACCGCCGTCTCCCAGCGATACCAGTACTACCTCGACAAGGCGACACCGTTTGTGCTCCGGCGATGGCTCTCCTTTGGCGTGGTGGCGCTCATCTACCTCATCCGAGTCGTTGTTCTTGAGGGATTCTACATTGTTTCTTACGGCCTAGGCATCTACGTTCTCAACCTGTTCATTGCCTTCCTGTCGCCCCAGGTGGATCCCGAGATGCAGCAGCTCTTAGATGGCGATGGGCCTTCGCTGCCGACCCGAGCTTCTGATGAGTTCCGTCCTTTCGTTCGTCGGCTTCCGGAATTCAAGTTCTGGTGCGAGGTTCTGTCTTTTGTGCAATTAGTTAACTTTTTTTTTTTTTTTTTTTTTTTTTTTTTGGTTTTTAATCGGGGAAGGGGGTGGTTTTTTTTTT